CACGAAAGGCCCAACAACAACCACGGAAGCACCAACAACCACTGAAGTTCCAACAACAACCACTGAGGTGCCAACAACAACAACTGAAGTGGCAACAACAACCACTGAAGCACCAACAACAACCACTGAAGTGCCAACAACCATGGAAACACCAACAACCACTGAAGTGCCAACAACAACCACAGAAGTGCCCATAACACCTGAAGTGCCAACAACAACCATTGATGTGCCAACAACCACAGAAGTGCCCATAACACCTGAAGCGCCAACAACAACCAGAGAAGCACCAAAAACAACAACTGAAGTGCCAAAAACAACCACAGAAATGCCAAAAACAACCACTGAAGTGCGAACAACAACAACGGAAGCGCCAACAACAACCACGGAAGGGCCAACAACAATGACTGAGGTGCCCACAACAACCGAGGAAGTGCCAACAACAACAACGGAAGCACCAACAACAACCACAGTAGTGCCAACAACAACCACTGAGGTGCCAACAACAACCAAGGAAGTGCCAAGAACAACAACCACTGAAGTGCCAACAACAACTGAAGCATCAACAACAACCACGGAAGCGCTGCGACAAACCACAGAAGGGCCAACAACAACCACTGAAGCGGCCACAACCACTGAACTGCCAATAACAACCACTGACGTGCCAACAACAACAACCACCGAAACGCCAACAACAACCACTGAAGCGCAAACAACAACCACAGAAGTGCCAACAACAACCACAGAAGTGCCAACAACAACCACTGAAGTGTCAACAACAACCACAGAAGTGCCAACAACAACCACTGAAGTGCCAACAACAACCACTGAAGTAACAACAACCATGGAAACACCAACAACCACTGAAGTAGCAACAACTGAAGTGCAAACAACAACCACTGAGGTGCCAACAACAACTAGTGAAGTGCCAGCAATTGAAGTGCCAACAACCACAGAAACACCAACAACAACAACTACTGAAGCGCCAACAACTGAAGTGACAACAACCACAACAGAAGTACTAATAACTGAAGCAACAACAACCACTGAAATGACAACAGAGCCAACAACAACTGAAGTGCGAACAACTGAGGTACCAACCACTGAACTACAAAAAACAACTGAAGTGCTCACAACAACCACTGAAGCACCAACAACTGAAGCGCCAATAACTACCGAATTAACAAAAACAACTGAAGCACGAACAAGCACCAAAGTAATAACATTAACTGAAGCACCAACAACAATTGAAATGCCAATAACAACTGAAGTGCCAACAACCACTGAAATACCAACAACTGAAGCACCAACAACAACCAAATCACCACCAACTGCTTCTGCATCAACAATAACTTTTGCATCTACAACAACTGGGGCTCCAACAACAACTGCCAGTCTAGCAACAAAAGCTACATCAAAAACAACCACTGTCGGTCCAACAACCATTGCCACAATGGCAACAACTAGGGCTCCAACATCAAATGCCACAGCAGCAACTGGGGCTCCAACAATGACTGCCAGTCTAGCAACAAATGCTACATCAAAAATGACTGCCAGCCCAACAACCTTTGCCACAGTAACATCATCTAGGGCTCCAACATCAAATGCCACAGCAGCAACTGGGGCTCCAACAATGACTGCCAGTCTAACAATAAATGCCACATCAAAAAGTAAAACTGCCGGTCCAACAACCATTGCTACAACAACAACATCTGCTGCTACTACTACTACTACTACTACTACTACTACTACTACTACTACAACTGTAGCTTCCCAACCAGTTGTGTTACTCACATCAGTCTTGATGGAACCTTATGTATCAGAACTTTCTGATCAAAACAGCAACCAATATAAGGTCCTTGAAGCAAGAGTTGTATCAGTGGTGAGTACAATATCAAAACAGTCACAGTGTTCATTATTTTTATAGGTGTATTAAGTGAGTTTACAGTTTATTTTAGTTTTATTTTAGAGTACAGTTTTTTTACTTTTTATATTTGTGTTCGTTCCACAGTTCGATTTCATCTACAGGGCAAAATATGGACTTCTTTTCATCCGCGTTTATGTCATAAAGTTTAGGTAATTTTTCATGAATGCTAATAACAAAAATAACAGAATAATTACATAGTTTAACAATGTTAATATTTAACTGAGATATGTGTTTTTCTATGCAGCCCAGCTATAACCAGAACACGAGCAGATAATGTTCAAGTAGAGGTGGGGATTGAGTTCAATACAACAGCTTCACCTGCAGACATCCCAAAGCCTGCTGATGTTGTAAAAACATTAGAAGAAGCTGCATCTAACTCCAACAACACCTTCAATGTCACTATTCAAGCCAACTCCACCCAACTAGTTCGTAAGTAAACAGTAGCTACGCATTACAGCAAGAAAATATACTCAGTGATTTATTTACAGATCACTGTCTGTGTCGTGAGTGTGTTTGAGAGTAAGTACCTCTGTGCTCTTGAAAATGTGTTCATACTGTTCTGTATTTGTTTTTTACAGAAGTAAATACTTCAGATGTAACAACAGTATCCCCCACCACAAATAACAAAAATACCAGTACTGCAAATACAGTTACCAACACAAGTACCGGTACTGTCATTACAGCAAGAAAATATACTCAGTGATTTATTTACAGATCACTGTCTGTGTCGTGAGTGAGGCAGTCACAACAAGGCGGCTGACTTTCAGATCTGCTGGAGAGACATTTACAAGCGACTTGCAGTTTCCATCATCCACAGCATTTAAAAATCGAGCCACACTCATAAAAACAAACGTAAGTCTCTGTCTTAGGGTAAGAACAAATAATATTTGTGCAATTATTTAGAACAGTTTTACAAGACTTCTGTAATATTATAGCATCTTTTTATTTTAATGACAGATTAAATAAATATGTGATAGTCAAAGAAAATAAAAAATGCATTAATAGGCAACAGAGCAGCATTATGACATAGTACAAATTACATTTATACCATTAATAAAAACAGAATGTTCAAATGAAAAAATGCAAGCCAGTTAAAAATAAATGTACTTACAATGGGTTTGTTTGTATTTCTACAGCTTGAACCATTCTACAAAAATGCATTTCCTTCATTCCGCTTCCTGAATACAGTGTCATTCAGGTAATTTATTATTGGTAGACTGATAGAATCTTAAAAATGTGGGTCATAAATTCACACAAATAACGCCATATATTTTGTTAATGTATTTTGCAGTAATGGATCAATCATCAACACTGTGGACCTTGGATTTGCATCTACATCTGTTCCTAATAACAGTGAAATTACAAAGGTTTTGATCAGAGCAGCAGCAAACATCACAGCCTTCAACATCGACATCAACTACATTTTCGTGGATGGCACACGTAAGCACTATTGAATTCTACCAATTCAAAAATTTACACTATTACAGAAAGGTTTGTTACAGTAATGTCTTGTCACCTTTCTCAACATTTGCAGAAACTTCAAGTGGAGTAAGCCAGAAGATCAGTTTCATCACTGCATCATTCTTGGTCCTGCTCTCATGGCTGCTGTCAAGCCAGCAATAGTGTCAGTGCAGATGTCCATGAGAATTCCCATTACCAAATATGAATTGTATGAAAAAGCACCTTGTTCCATTTCAAAATCGAGTCACTTTTGAGGATGACTTGGAAAGAACTTCCACATATTTAATTCAAATTTGGGATGACTGCACACACCAATAACATGTTGATGGCATATGTATTCAACAACCACAGATCTTTGCAAGAACCTTTCCTTATCTCTGTTTGCTGTCCCACAAAGCTCATTCATTACGGGGACAACTTTAAGATCCTTAACAGAACACAAGGGTTAAGCAACTGGTCCTTTGAAACAAATTTATCACTGAAATTACACTCAAAAATAACTTATTGGATGAACTTTATTAAATTATATGCAGTATGTAGCCCTAGCTCAAATTATGTGCATCCATTTATTTAATTTAAGTTGGGGCTACATATATTTATTGGATGGAAATGAGTACTTTTTTTTGAGTGTATCCTTGTACTGCCCCATTTAGATTTATGTTGAAAGTCATGAACAATATCCTGCATGATTACCCAGTCACATTTCTTCTTGTTATGCATTACAATACAAGTGTATATTCTGTGAACTTTGTTTATTACTTATACAAAGTCTTCCTCAAGATAATCAAGACACAAGAATAAAATATACCATTACTATATCACAAAGTTTTTACCATCTAAAGTGGATAAATCTGTATCACTACATGTATATAAAACCTGCTTCTATTTAAGGCACTTAAAGTGATTCAAAATTTACCCCCAAGATTCATGGCTTCAAACATCATTTATTGTATACAATTTGGAAAACTGTAAACGCATAAGTACAAGCAAACACATTACATGATTGAGTTGTAACCAGAAAACATGTCTATGTTCTTTAAAAGCAAATACACATTGCGCTAGCTTAATGCTAACTTACAATAGAAAAACGCATAGACGTGCTAACTTGAATTAGCTTGACAGTCACAGTATTCCATTCAATACAAACATACATGTTGGTCCGTAAGTAGAGCACGTATAACACCAGTAAATCGACATAAACAATAAACTTACAGGCATATATTTCTTTGCTCTGTGGAGCGATTTCAACTTCAGCTTTGCAATAAACAGCAGCTAATTCGTGCCTTCAATATAAACTACTATTTCCTAGCCTAAGGTGAACTTCCCATGAACCTCAAAATAAACATGGTCGATCGCCACTAGGGGGCAATAGTACCTGTAGAGGGCAGGACACTCCTCGTCTGGTATAATGCTTTATACTGCTACACAGTTTCTTTGCGAAAAAGTAATATTATCTCTGAAATAGGTCGCAAATACACTTTAGAAGTACCCTGTCTACAAACCCTAACTTCAGCTTTATCTACTTTATTGTCTTGAGTAGGCATAGTTTTCACAACAAGTCCTGTAGGCCACTCAGTTCTTTTGGCCTGTGAGTCCTTCAACAACACCACATCTCCCACTTGCACATTGTCCCTCTCTGAGTGCCATTTTTTCCTGGGTTGGAGTGTTGTTAAATAGTCTGTTTTCCATCTTATCCAGAATGCATCCGCGAGTCCTTGAACTCTTTTCCAGTGTTTGTTAGAGAGATCATTAATGTCAAAGTCCCCTACAGGTGTAGAAAGTGTGTCCATCTTCTATGTCAACAGCATGGATGGTGTGAGAACTACTGGTGATTTGGGGTCCGAAGATACCAGGACCAAAGGTCTTGAGTTCATTATGGCAGTAACTTCTGTCATCAGAGTCGTAAGCATTTCGTGTGTCAGAGAGGGGGTTTTTATCTGGAGAAGGAGGGCATACAATATGTGCCTTGCGATTTCAATCATCCTTTCCCATACACCACCCATATGCAAACAACTGAAGTACCAACAACAACTGAAACATCAACATTCATCCTTTCCCATACACCACCCATATGCAATGAGTGTGGAGGATTGAAGGTCCAGGAACATTTGTTGTCTTTCAGGTAAGGTTTTAAGTCAGAGTCAAGATTGAGCTCTCTACAAGCTCCGATGAAATTTGTCCCCCTGTCTGACCTGAGCATTTTGATTGGTCCTCTTAGGGCAGTAAAACATCTGAGAGCATTGATGAAGCTTGCAGTAGTCATGGACTCTATAACTTCAATATGTACTGCTCTGGTGCTGAGACAAGTAAACATGATTGCCCACCTTTTACTTTCTGCATGGCCTCCTCTTGTCCTCTGTGAGGCAACTGTGCATGGACCAAAGGCGTCTAACCTGACGTGTGTGAATGGTGGTTCCATAGAAACTCTTTCTGGTGGCAAACCTGACATTTGTTCTTCCTCCTGCCTTCCTCAGAACTTCTTGAAGATTACACATTTATGTATCACACTAGAGACAATTCTTTTCCCTCCAATTAGCCATAGTCCAGCTGCTCTAATGGCTCCGTCGGAAAAGTGGCATTCCTAATTTGTTGTCAACAAAAAACTTCAGCAATTTTTTCTCATGCATCAGCTGTTTCAGCAAATGATTTCAGGTATTTTCATGGCAATCCTTCAGCATATCAGCATCCACATGCATTTTTGACAGAAAGGGCATTTCTCTAGATATCCCATAATTTACTTTCTAGGAATGGAATGGTTGACAAAATTCACAGTTGGGTTCATATCACAGTTTTGGATTCAAGGTTGGTAGTTTTTGGTAAAGCCGGAGGAAGGCACTGCCAATTTCAATGTGCTTTTTATTTTTTGGACAAAAAGTTTGCAAAGGTTTGCTGTAAAATACTGGCTATGAAAAAAAGGAAACCTAAACACTCCTTCACTGTCAACACACACATATTACACTGTGTGAAAACAGCACTTCTCTGTTCATTCTGTCTTTGTCTTCAGCAAGATGAGTTTGTTTGATTATTAATTTTATTATTATGATTATTCTTTCACATTCCCAGGCACAAGGCAGTATCTACTTGAGAAAACTCTCACTCTGTACAGATGTACCCAAGACTGCAAATTAATATTTTACCCATCGCTTTTTACATGTTGCAGAACAGATAGTTTCATTATATCAAATGTTTCAATTGACACTGTACATCACCCACTGCATTTTTTAAGCTTCAGATCTATTTTTCCCCCCTTTTTTTTATGTCAGTTAGCGTGATGACAGACAGCTGTTCTGATGAGCTGAACATGCCATTCAAGTTTTGCATTCAGTGTGAATTATCAGTAAATCCATAGAAGACCAAAATGACACTGGTGGATCCTCCAACTGATGTATAAACCTGCCATTTCAAGACTGACTGACAACTGATCTTGACACTTCATTAGTGCCATTTAAGTTTCAAGTTTTTTTTCCCTCAGTGACTTCATTTTTTTTCTGCCAGTGTCTCAAACTATTTAAATAAACCAAACAATACATACTGTACATGCCCTGAACTGTGACTAGAGAACCAAAGGAGTAAGATCTTTTACTTCCACTCCTAATTTTTTACACAATTCAAAGTGACAAAAAGAAAATAAAATGCAAGCCAGTTAAAAATAAATGTACTTACAATGGGTTTGTTTGTATTTCTACAGCTTGAACCTTTCTACAAAAATGCATTTCCTTCATTCCGCTTCCTGAACATGGTTTCATTCAGGTAATTTATTATTCTTAGACTGATAGAATCTTAAAAATGTGGGTCATAAATTCACACAAATAACGCCATATATTTTGTTAATGTATTTTGCAGTAATGGATCAATCATCAGCACTGTGGACCTTGGATTTGCATCTGCATCTGTTCCTAATAACAGTGAAATTACAAAGGTTTTGATCAGAGCAGCAGCAAACATCACAGCCTTCAACATCG